CTATGGGTTGAATAACAGGAAATCCTGCCATTTACTTTAAACTTGAGATATTGAACAGAAAAACAGACATTTTCCACGGATTTTCCGAGGCTGTCACCCTTTAACCTGCTGAAAATAGTCTTTTAAAACAGGAAAAAAAACGAGTCCAAAATTACCTTACAGTATCTCCATTCAATGGACAATAGTTTTATAGCAATGAAATGGGCCGTATTTGTGTAATATAATTAAACCAACCAAATTAATAACCTACCTGTATCGATCGGTAATTTTCAGATATCTGCCATCACTGCAGTGATCTGCCATCACTGCCGCCGGTAATACGGTGTGTACTTCAAGGACAGAAAATATCTAAGTTGTATTGCCTACTTTACATACATGTAGCTTATATATTTCGTTTCGGTTTAAAGATGTTTGATACTAGGTTAAATACTGAGGCGTCTTAATCTTAAATAACTATGTTGCATTATCAGTATGATAGCTCATTACGCTCAAATACTTATTGCTCTATTAAGATAACCTCTGATATAATGTTAATATACTCATATAGAAATATATAATCATATAGAAGCTTATATATATGTATATGAAACTATTTAACTTGAACTAATTTATGTCTTTTTAATTATATAAAAAAAGTACATTTGTCATAATTATGTATCATATGCTAATCGTTTATATATTTCATGTTGTATGTGTTGTAAACGCTGAAAAAGCGGAAATAAAAACTATATACTTTTCGGGCACTTTTTTTAAACATTTTTCTATACAGATTTCACAATTTCTAACATAGAGACCTGACAATTTGACACAGTACAGCTAGGTTCTTCTCCTAACTAACAAACTAGTTTATTTATTTCTGCTTATATTGACACTTTTATCTGAGGCCTGTCGGGCCCAAAGGTTAAAAAAAGTAAACCCCAAAAATTTTTTCAAAACTACAGGGACCCAAGTGTCTGGACGGAAATTGTACAAAGACATTTATTTTATTTAAGGGTTAAAAAGCTTTTGGGTTTTTAATTTTTTTTAAAATGATTTGGGGTGGAAAATTTAATTGCTGAAATTATTTTTTCCAAAATTTCAAATTTTTTAGCTGGGTTTTATGAAGGGCAGGTATTCACCCTTGATGCCCAAAAAATTTTCAGCGTAAACATTCTTGAAATATACGATAAAATATTACCATTCACGGAAGATGAAATAAATTTTATTAATCATAGAAGAAACATGCATGTTGATAATAAAGTGACTGATAGATCGAAAACCACTGAACAAAGAAAAAAACTAAAATAAGCATTTTTGGGGCCGTCCGCGGGTTTGATGGTTGTCCGGTTTTGATGGACTCCAACCAGTACAGGCAACTATTGTTTAATTTAAATCAAATTTATTCTAATTTTTGGCGTGGACGAGAGGAATTTAGTGTAAATTCAAGTACAATGTATAAAGTATCGCCGTAAAGTCTTGCAATGTCTAGTAAAGTCCGTCATTTTAGAAATTTCTATCATTATTAAACACTATTTTAATATTCAAAAGAGTAGTGTTTTCTTTGGAAATTACTTTAAGTTGTTTTTTTAAGTATTTTTATTCTTATTTAGAAAACGGAGGTTTGTGGAATTTAGCGTAAAAACAAGCAAAGACCGTTTTATAAATATCTTATATAATATTCGACAGAGGAATATGAGCTTTTGAAGCTATTTCTAGACACAAAATGTTTAATTTTAATTAAACGAATTCGTATATTAATAACGGAGGCTTGCGCATACATTGTACATGGAATTTAACGTTCAGGACAAAGACAGTTATATTATAGATTTCTATCAATTTTTTAACATGATTTCAAAATTTAGTAAAGAAAGTATGTTCTTTGGAACTTAAGTTTAAGAAAGCAAGAGCCACCGCCGGGCGGGGGCAACGAAAATCTTAACGTTTCCTTTTTATAAAATTAATCGGTCTATTTTGTCACATTAGTTGTGTCTATATATTTTGTATATATAAATATACTATTATATATATAAAAAGAAACACGCAATTCTATAAATAGAAACACGCAATTCTATAAATAGAAAATTCTAAAGATAGATACACGTGATGTCACTTGGTGGAGTCACGTGATGAAGTCACGTGGTTGAGTCATGTGGTGGTGTCACGTGGTTGAGTCACGTGGTGGTGTCACGTGGTGGAGTCACGTGGTGGTGTCACGTGGTGGAGTCAAGTGGTGGTGTCACAAGTGACATGGTGGAGTAACGTGGTGAACTCACGTGGTTGACTCACGTGGTGGAGTAGTCATGTGGTGGAGTAGTCACGTGGTAGAGTAGTCACGTGGTGGAGTAGTCACGTGGTGGATTCTTGGGTGGAGTCATGTGGTGGAGTCACATTCAAAAATAACAAACTTACAGCCAATAATAGCCAAAAAAATTAAAATTTCAATAATTTGACCTTCAGAGTCAAGGTTATTTATGAGTGAAGGTCAATGTCTGTCTGGTTATTTATAAGGGTTATCCTTGAAGATTATTATGTTCAAGTTTGTAGACAACCCATTCAAAAATAACAAAGTTACAGCCAATAATAGCATGAACAAGCAAAATTTGGACTTTTAACCTTGAAGGTCAAAGTCATTTATGGATGAAGGTCAAGTTTAGTGTAGTCTACTGAAAGGTCTTGTCCCAAGGGTTGTTGTGGCCAAGTATGAAGACAATACACCAAGAAATAAAAAAGTTATGAACCAGGTACAAGTTTGCGGACGGCAACGGCAACGCCGCCGCGACTATAGCTATACCTCTACTTTTTTTTTCAAAAAAAAAGTCGAGCTAAACGTGGCGGAGTCACGTGGTGGTGTCACGTGGTGGTGACAAGGTCTTGTCCTTAAGTATGTTCTGTTATAATATGAAGTTGATCCCTTCAATAATAGCAAAGTTACAGCCAGTTACAGCAATAACAATGAAAAGGTCAAGGTAATTAATGAGTGAAGGTCAAGGTCTGTCGGGTTATTTTTATGTGTTATCCTTGAAGATTATCATGTTCAAGTTTGAAGACAATCCATTCAAAAATAACAAAGTTACAGCCAATAATAGCCAAAAAAATGAAAATTTCAATAATTTGACCTTCATAGTCAAGGTTATTTATGAGTGAAGGTCAATGTCTGTCTGGTTATTTATAAGGGTTATCCTTGAAGATTATTATGTTCAAGTTTGAAGACAATCCATTCAAAAATAACAAAGTTACAGTCAATAATAGCCAAAAAAATGAAAATTTCAATAATTTGACCTTCATAGTCAAGGTTATTTATGAGTGAAGGTCAATGTATGTCTGGTTATTTTTAAGGGTTATCCTTGAAGATTTTTATGTTCAAGTTTGAAGACAATCCATTCAAAAATAACAAAGTTACAGTCAATAATAGCCAAAAAAATGAAAATTTCAATAATTTGACCTTCAAAGTCAAGGTCATTTATGAGTGAAGGTCAAGGTCTGTCGGGTTATTTTTAAGGGATATCCTTGAAGATTATTATGTTCAAGTTTGAAGATAACCCATTCAAAAATAACAAAGTTACAGCCAATAACAGCATGAACAAGCCAAATTTGGACTTTTAACCTTGAAAGTCAAGGTCATTTATGGATGAAGGTCAAGTTTAGTGTGGTCTATTGAAAGGTCTTGTCCCAAGGGTTGTTGTGGCCAAGTATGAAGACAATACACCAAGAAATAAAAAAAGTTTGATCCTGGTACAAGTTTGCGGACGGCAACGCCGCCGAGACTATAGCAATACCTCTACTTTTTTCAAAAAAAAGGGGAGCTAAAAATGTTTAATTTTGATAAAATGTATTTTTTTGAGGGCGGGGGGTGTAGAATATCATCATTATTTAAAATGTTGCAATATTTTTCAAGTATGTACATGTATGTTGTTTGGAAGATAATTTTCATTATTTCGACTTAAAAGTTAATGAAGTAATGTGTGTATTGTATCTATATGTTTATTATTATATTTACCTAAGTCCCATTTGCTTATACGAAAAACTCATGTATATTACATTATACCGTATACCAGTGTAATCACTTATTATGATTAGTGTTCTGTTTCACCACTTTCTTATTCAAAACTTCAACATTTTAATTTCTGGTGTGATAATGGGCAAATTACAGGCACGGTGCTAACTATAACTATAAGTTAGTAGTTAGGTTCAAATTAATTGTTCTTGTCGGGTGTACATAAATCCCACCCTGATCTTATAACTTCATCTTGAAATATTCTATAAAAATGACATTACCACAGTAACGACACTTTCCTTCTTTCTCATCTTTTCTTTGTGGGGTTCTGCTGTGCTTATTTGTTTGTAGACATATAGCTATGTAGCCACATCTTTCAGGCGTCTCATCAGTAAAATTACCTCTACGCTTGAAATGCTGGGCAATATATTTTTATAAATTCTCACTTAAAATTATTATCAGGTTAGATCAACATCAACTTTCCTTGCATTCTAGATCTAGTATATATTTGTATATATAATGCATGCATGGTTTACATGGTAGTTCTGAATATTCTTTGTGGAAATTTTTTATTTTGTTATTTTTTTTACAATTTTTATTAAATTATCTCTTTTTTTGGGAACGGGGGGGGGGGGGGATGAGTGTGGCAATCGCAACTTTCCCGCTTTTTTGTCAATCTTCGTCGAAGGGTTCCAAATTGGACTTAGAAGTAGCTCTAGGACATTCTGTGTTTAGTATGATTTAGGGTCCTTGTGAGAGTTCTCTCCGGCATGGAGTTAAATATATAAATCTATATATTTAATTGTTGTCTCTGGGTATAATATTGTGTATATCTTGCAGGACTAAGGCAAAAAAGAAAGAAACATTATTTATATTCATCTGATAATTAATTTTCGAAAATTAACCCATATTTTAAATACCCCCGTTAATGTATGAATTTATAATGTAATTTTATTGAAATAGATTCGCCCCTGTGCCCTAGTTTAACACAATCGGAACATCTTGGCTATTATCAATTATAACAATTGTTCTAATCCGAGGTTAGACGAAGAGGGCCGAGATAATGCGAATGAGATCAACTTTTTCTTTTGATATCGAAAGTAGGAATTCTAAGGTTATTTTATAGTGATCATCCGTTTCTCAATTCAACAATAATTTGTGTTATTTGAGACAGACTGTATGAAATAAAAGAATTTAATGAACGATATCGCATGGAGAATGTCATTATTCGTTAACTCTTCACAATTGAGGTAAGTGTACTTCGTTTCGCAAAATATACCGTACATTATTAAAGTGAATTACTTATCATTCTCAAAGATACATGTATATATACATGCGGCGCATGACAGAATATTTTGATACTCGCGAGGATTAACCTTGAGAACGGCGATCGCCGCCATAACTATTTTGTGAGAAAAAAAATGTCAAAAACATGTAATGGCTTATCTACACTCGTAAACAACTTCTCCTGTTTTCAAGGCGACTGTGGCTTTTGTCACAGACGCTGGCCAACGTGATACGCCCCTGTAAACAATCTATCAAAACTTTTTTAATATTTAAACACGAATATTGAGACTTGATGGTATCTACGGTATTTTTTTCAAATATGTAAAAATTGTTTGAAAACCATTTTTATCGTTGTAATAGATGTCCCATTCGTGTTTAAATATTAAAATAGTTTGATAGAGTGTTCACAGGGGCGTATCAAGCCTATGCGACTTTTGTCTCTATTACAACAATAAAACTGGTTTTCAATTTTGTTTACATATATCATGAAAAAAATACCGTATACCATCAAGTCTCAATTGATGGTAGAAATCTATAGCTTATTTTTCATATATGAAAACCAGTTTTATCATGTCTAGTACATATAGTGTTTAAATATTTTTGATAGAGCATTGTGTACACCGGTCTTACTAACGATATTTGAGACTGGTGTGTATAGAGTGTTTACAGGGGCGTATCACATTGGGGGCAGAATCTGACCCAAGCGTCTGTGGATTATGTATGACAGTCTATGACAGTCCCTAATAAGACTGATAGTAACTGCACCAGTTGAAAACCTAGCTGTGCTTGTTTTCTCCAGGGCCCCCAGGTATATGTAATAACACTTTGAAATGTTTGGCAGCTTGAGCACCGACATCTTTAAGTCTTGGCTGCAACCTCTGTTGTGCAGGTCACTTGGGACTGGACCGGGTCGGGGTCTCACAGGACTGGGCGTCGAGCGAAGCTGCTGGTCAGCTGGTCCATGTTGGCCTAAATTTATACATCTGTTTAGGTTTCTCGGAGCTCCCCCCCCCCCCCCCCCAACTGTGGTTTCCTTCAAAAGACCTCTTTCAAAACGCTGTACGGCTTCAATCGTTTTTCTGGAATTATTTAAATTTTTTAAAAATATTGAATAGGACCGATTGCCCGAGTTTAACGCAACTTTCAACAATATTTATCAGTCATATAGTGATTGTATTAAAGGATCTGAACTGGTTCGTTATCATTGTACGTTCTTCTTTCCCACATGATGGGAGATCGCTGGCCTTAGTAATATCTATTATTTTTCGTTGAATGATTGATTATTTACCGATATAACCTTTTAATGCTAAGCGCTAAGCATTAAGGGAGCTGTCACCCTACCATTTTTCATGTCTTTCGTAACTATACGATCAGTTGTATATTGGTTATAGGCAAGAATGATTGATGATTTCATGATGTAACAATCTTTTTGCAACTCAATGATGTAAATTGTAAGTCATAAAAAATGTAAAACCACCGTTGTTGTCATAACAAAAACAACAACAAACAAAAATGAATTATAAAGTGTAGGAAATAACCCATTTTCAATTTTAGATAATCTTTGGCGAGTGACATACCGCCCATAAGCATGAGGTACAAAATGCCGCCGCAATGTGGGTAACCACGTGACGCGCCTGTCACTTTACATATATTTTGTGCATAAATATTTCAAGAAAATCAAACTTGAAAAAAGTGTACTGTAGTTTTAAGGAAAAGAAAGATTCAATGTCCAAGTAATATTTTACATATTATGTGTGATTAATGACAGATTTTCAGTATTTATCATCATATTTCTATACTTCCTTATTTACGCAATACAAGCTATTTTCCGCATATTCTGACTTTTTTTTAGTAATTTTGGTATAAGTGCAGTTTGCATTGCGTAAATTACCTTCTTTGTTTTCTATACAACATTTAAATTTAAATACATTTTCATCATAATATTTTTTATTGATATCCGTTATTTAATCAATTCATTTTGGAAGGAAAAAACGTGTGTTTATCTTTGGTTTCTTGAACCAACTTTAATATATGAATTTCTAACAAAAGATTGATTGTTTTGAAATGCACTTGTTAATGTCACTCAGAAATGATGCTATATGATAATGATTATGTACTATGTACAAATTAAAAGTTTTGTTCTGTATTTAATATTGTTATCAGTCGATGAAAATACTATTGATAAAATAATCTCACATTTTACACATTTTGTAATTTTTCATTTCAGTTAAGAACAACTTGCTGCAATATTTGTTATCATTTATACCACACCGTCACGTGATGTCACGATTACTGAAGATATTGTAAGTGGACTTAATTTTACATTTGTCATATATAATACTACAGTGGGTTCAATTTAACTGATTACTAGTAGCTAAGTGGAGGGGCCGGTCTACCATGTAAAGACGAATTTTACGATATTGCAGATTTTTGTATGCCATTATTTTAATCTTAGTTGTCAAAACAAATGCATGTATATATTAAGTAAGGTCAGCCTTAAAATTATCTTTGTTTCCCCTCCCGCTACCCATGCCAGATTTAGAAGGATAGGTAGTTAGGTAGGTAGATAAACTTTTTTTATCCAAACTACAATATGTATTTATTCGCTTTCTAAAATTATAGCGAATTCAAAACTAATTGAAGTCTGTTTAAAGTTTAGAATCGTATTTTCAAAGTTTTATTCAACATATAAACCAATTTTATACCTACAATTCAAAAACATGAGAAAGTTTAAAAGATGTAATTATCATTCCATAAAAAGATAAACATCTGGTTTTTTTTATGCTTTTCTTTTTACTAGGAAATAAAATATTTCGGGTAGCTGTGATTTTGGGAAGGGAAACAAACACTATTTTAGTTTAGGTCTTATGTAAGATGAACATTCTTAAAAATTTAAATCGACACTCGATTACGTTGTAATTCGCTAGAAAACTGGTATGGCTCGCTGTCACTTTACTTTTAGCCCGCAAATATTCCACATTGACGTTTTAGCGTTCAAGACAATGTTCCGAATGTCGCTCGTTGTCCACCTCTATTTATTGCATTCAGAGTGGTAGTTCACACACGTTTATAGATAAAAAAAACCCCACATGTACCTGGCAGAAAAACTACAATACCGATACAATACTAAATGATTGTACTTAACTTGTGAAAAAAATGTCCAATCGGACTTAGTTTTAGTCTAAATTACACGCAGTTTGAGTCATTTATTTCATTTACGAAATGTATATATGTCTGTCTGCGAGTGTGGGTGGTTCCAGTGAGGGTAAGGAGATATTCAAAACTAAATCTGTTTGTGTACTTGTAGGTTAGTTTGTATTTGTGTAGCAGCTAACAATAGTCTAGTACAAGGCTGCCTGAGATCTGGACCATCTGATGAAGATTTCAGGGCCTTACGAGAAGAAGTCCGATCCGTAAAGAGAGAACTTCATCACCTAGAGAACAAGCACGAAAATTTTGTGTCCGAGTCAAGAGGTCGAAAGTCTAATACAGAGGCAACTGTAAACAATGCGGAATCAATAATTAGACGCTTGGATGAACTTGAGGTAAAACAAAGTGAATTAGAACAAAATACAAAAGCTGCTAATGCTACAAAACAACTTATTAAGAAAACTGTGGATAACTTGGAGAAGCAAATCAATGATAAAATAAAAACTTTGCATAATGTGTTAGCTGAGTTGGAAGAAAAATTAAAAAAAGGCCATGGTGCGCTAGAAGGTTCCATGCAGAACATAGAGACCTCTACAAAAAAGAAATTTGAAGAAATTCGCAAAGTCCTCAAGGAAAACGGAGAAACTGCTGAAGAAAAACATGTTTTTATTTTAGATTCACTTGATAAATTAAATAGTGCTGTTAACTCTGATTTGAAAACGAAGGTTGCTGATTTTGATATGCACATAACTTCAATACGAACCTCAAAAGACGAGGCAGATAAACTTTTAGAAGAACTGCAAACAGTTGTCGAAAAGATTCGTCCAAACACATTCAATAAAGGTAAGAATTTATCGCTATAGTTACATTAAGAGTAACAGACTTTTTATACCCCGCACAACAAAGTTGTAAGGGGGTATACTGGAATCAGCTTGTCCGACTGTCCGGCCGTCCGTCGGTTTTTTCTTGTCCGCCCAATAACTTAAGATTCCTTTGACCCTTAGTCTTCATATTTGGCATGGAGGTTAGTCATGATTAGTAGATGACCCCTATTGATTTTGAGGTCACTAGGTCAAAGGTAAAGGTCACAGGGACCTTGACTTCAAAAAGCATGTTCGCCCAATAACTTAAGATTCCTTTGACCTACAGTCTTCATATTTGGCATGGAGGTTAGTCATGATTAGTAGATGACCCCTATTGATTTTGAGGTCACCAGGTTAAAGGTCAAGGTCACAGGGGCCTTGACTTCAAAAAGCTTGTCCGCCCAATAACTTAAGATTCCTTTGACCTACAGTCGTCATATTTGGCATGAAGCTTAGTCATGATTAGTAGATGACCCTTATTGATTTTGAGGTCACCTGGTCAAAGGTCAAGGTCACAGGGGCCTTGACTTCAAAAAGCTTGTCCGCCCAATAACTTAAGATTCCTTTGACCAATAGTCTTCATATTTGGCATGGAGGTTAGTCATGATTAGTATATGACCCCTATTGACTTTGAGGTCACCGGGTCAAAGGTCAAGGTCACAGGGGCCTTGACTTCAAAAAGCTTGTCCGCCAAATAACTTAAGATTCCTTTGACCCACAGTCTTCATATTTGGCATGGAGGTTAGTCATGATTAGTAGATGACCCCTATTGACTTTGAGGTCACCAGGTCAAAGGTCACAGGGGCCTTGACTTCAAAAAGCTTGTCCGCCCAATAACTTAAGATTCCTTTGACCCACAGTCTTCATATTTGGCATGGAGGTTAGTCATGATTAGTAGATGACCCCTATTGACTTTGAGGTCACCAGGTCAAAGGTCAAGGTCACAGGGACCTTGACTTCAAAAAGCTTGTCCGCCCTATAACTTAAGATTCCTTTGACCCACAGTCTTCATGTTTGGCATGGAGGTTAGTCATGATTAGTAGATGACCCCTATTGATTTTGAGGTCACCAGGTCAAAGGTCAAGGTCACAGGGACTTTGACTTCAAAAAGTTTGTCTGCCCAATAACGTTAGATTCCTTTGACCCACAGTCTTCATATTTGGCATGGATGTTAATCATGATTAGTAGATGACCCCTTTAGATTCTGAGGTCACTGGATCAAAGGTCAAGTTCATAGGGACTTTGACTTCAAAAAGTTTGTCTGCCCAATAACTTTAGATTCCTTTGACCTACAGTCGTCATATTTGGCATGAAGCTTAGTCATGATTAGTAGATGACCCTTATTGATTTTGAGGTCACCAGGTCAAAGGTCAAGGTCACAGGGGCCTTGACTTCAAAAAGCTTGTCCGCCCAATAACTTAAGATTCCTTTGACCAATAGTCTTCATATTTGGCATGGAGGTTAGTCATGATTAGTAGATGACCCCTATTGACTTTGAGGTCACCAGGTCAAAGGTCAAGGTCACAGGGGCCTTGACTTCAAAAAGCTTGTCCGCCAAATAACTTAATATTTCTTTGACCCACAGTCTTCATATTTGGCATGGAGGTTAGTCATGATTAGTAGATGACCCCTATTGACGTTGAGGTCACCAGGTCAAAGGTCAAGGTCACAGGGGCCTTGACTTCAAAAAGCTTGTCCGCCCAATAACTTAAGATTCCTTTGACCCACAGTCTTCATATTTGGCATGGAGGTTAGTCATGATTAGTAGATGACCCCTATTGACTTTGAGGTCACCAGGTCAAAGGTCAAGGTCACAGGGACCTTGACTTCAAAAAGCTTGTCCGCCCTATAACTTAAGATTCCTTTGACCCACAGTCTTCATGTTTGGCATGGAGGTTAGTCATGATTAGTAGATGACCCCTATTGATTTTGAGGTCACCAGGTCAAAGGTCAAGGTCACAGGGACTTTGACTTCAAAAAGTTTGTCTGCCCAATAACGTTAGATTCCTTTGACCCACAGTCTTCATATTTGGCATGGATGTTAATCATGATTAGTAGATGACCCCTTTAGATTCTGAGGTCACTGGATCAAAGGTCAAGTTCATAGGGACTTTGACTTCAAAAAGTTTGTCCACCCATTAACTTTAGATTCCTTTGACCCACAGTCTTCATATTTGGCATGGATGTTGATCATGACTATAAGGTGACCCCTATTGATTTTGAGGTCACTGGGTCAAAGGTCACAGGGACCTTGACAAAAAAAAAGCTTTTCTTCTCAATTGCTAAAGAATGTCCTGTCCGCAATGTATTGATTTTGACATTTTCACATTTGAAGCATGTAGAATACATAACTTAGCAATGCATTGGCTAAGTAACCTCAGATTTGGCAGGGAGGTTGTCCTTGAGCTCTTGATTCTGACAAAGTGGTATGCGGGGGGTATTCACGCCATGATAGTGGCAGTTCTAGTTTTTACAAAATTCACCTGTTTGCTTTACAAAATCTAATGGTTGCAAACAGGGTATGGTAAAAAGACGATTGCCTTATACAGAAATAAACAGAATAAAATGTTTCAACCTCCCACGAAATCGTTTGTTACCATTTAAAAAAATCTTAAGGGTATTACCTCAATTTTCAAAATATGGGTTGCGGTCTAGTGTTTATACTGAAAGTCAATCAAACAAGCCGCACAAACCCCGAGTACTTTGTAATTATTTATTGCAGACGTTTTCGCTAGATTCCTTCAGCAGTGCATTACATATGAGCCGCGTCACGACAACACCAACGTAATGGGTTTGCGACCAGCATGAATCTAGACCAGCTTGCGCATCCGCAGTCTGATCAGGATCCATGCTGTTTGCTTACAAACCGTATTACAAGTAGAGAAACTGATAGCGAACAGCATGGATCCTGATCAGACTGCGCGGATCGCAGGCTGGTCTGGATCCATGCTGGTCGCAAACCCATTATGTTGTTTTTGTCATGACACGGCTTATGTATTTGTGATAGACAACTGCAACAATGTTAGTTCAGTTTATAAAGAATTAGATTGTGTTGATTAGGACGGCTTTTATATCATTTCATTTTTAAAGCAAGATTGGTAATGATGTAATAAAGTTAACAAAGAATACGGAACATATTGAATCCTTAACGTTCTGTCGGCAACAGATTTCACCCATGCGAATTTGTTAATTTTATATGTTTCTTTAGATAGTCATCCTGTGATACAGATATTTGTAACAAACTACCAAGACACATTTAAACAAATATGTATTTACTTTTATTATAACGATGTGTAAGTGTATTTATTGCGTATATGTTTATGTGTGTTTTTATCTGGATAAAAATCTATATATCAGTGTAGACCTTGGACTACAATATATACATATGAGCCGCGTCATGACAAAATCAACATAATGGGTTTGCGACCAGCATGGATCCAGACCAGCCTGCGCCTCCGCGCAGTCTGAGATTCAGGATCCATGCTGTTCGCTTACAAACCCTATTACAAGTAGAGAAACTGATAGCGAACAGCATGGATCCTGATCAGACTGCACGGATACGCAGGCTGGTCTGGATCCATGCTGGTCGCAAACGCATTACGTTGATTTTGTCATGACGCGGCTCATATGTATATATATTTGGTCCCAGTAAACACAATATCAGCCGTCACATCCATGTTGTCTTATCATAGTCTGTACTGTTTGTTATTCTGTCAGTTAATATTTCCCCGAAAATCATGAAAGATGGACAAGTTCATTTAAAATATTAAGCGTGGTAAGAGTTAAATGTTGGACGACACTTACTCTGTAAACCATCTAAGAATACTGATTTTAAAAGATTAATTTTATGAAGAAATATTGTAAAATATACAAACTGTAATAATAACAATAATAATGATAATAATAGAGTATTTATGTAGAGAAGGTGACATACAAATTTTACACAAAAAGAGAACATGTATACTAATTTTTCAGTACCAAGGCTTTTTTCACAGGCTTGGGAAGCAGGGGGTAAATTACACTGTTTATTTGCAAAAGGGGAAGAAAAAACTTAATGTCAATTCAATTTTTTTTGGAAAACTGCATGATTTTAAAGAATTTTTATTTGGGGAAGCAGCCCTGTAACGGACCCTGCTATAGAAAGAAAAAAAGCCCCGACTGTAGACCATCTGATTTAACAATAACAAAGAAATATTAACTATTATAAAAAAGAAAAATACAGTCAAACGTCTGGTTAGCGACCATACAAAGGAAACACCAAAATTGCCCCTTAACGAAACGGTCTCTTAAGAGAAAAAAGTAAAAATTTATGCATGACAAAGAATCCTGTAAATAAATAGTAAGAGGTATAGTTTTCAGAATTAATTGAGCATAAATAAATAATTGAGTCGTGTCATGACAAAACCAACGTAATGCGTTTGCGACCAGCATGGATCCAGACCAGCCTGCGCATCAGCGCAGTATGATCAGGATATATGCTGTTCGCTATCAGTTTCTCTATTTGTAATAGAGTTGGTAAGCGAACAGCATGGATCTTGATCAGACTCCGCGGATGCGGATGTGTACACTGTTGAATTCAGTCAAGTATGCTGTATGATTCACAGGAAAGATTATGATCTAGATATATAATATCATTTTATTTATTTATTTGATTATTTATTTATTTGTTTGTTTCAGACAGTGCAGTAAAGGCGTTTTTGGTCGTTGTCGTGTTTGTTTTGATCCTGGCATTCTGGGTATTCAAATTACAGCAAAGTGTGACAGAACTAAAGAAGTACCCTTAGTCATCAACATAGACATTTTAAGACATTTGTTTCTAAATGTAAATTAATATTTATATTCATACATAGATTAGCACTATACACTTTATTTTATTTATATTTTTTGTTTGTATTTAAAGTGACTGAATGCCCATCCAACTGCAAATAGTGAGTGCATAGTTGAAAGTTAAACTTAAAATTTTGCGATAATTGTTTTCAATTCTACATGTATATTTTACTTTACAAAAACAAAAATCAGCGTGACCCTCCATATTTTTCTGGATGAATTTGAAGCGCTCAGTTTTTTTAAAAAAATAGTTGGGCAGTTCTATTTTTATATATTAATTAGGTAGTTTAATTTTTTTATATATTAATTAGGTAGTTTAATTTAATTCTATTAGTTTATATTTTTTCGAAACATTTTTCTTTCAATTATTGGCCAATCACCATTGTAAAAGTCAATCTTTTGAAATATGTTACTAATTCAACTTGACAGCGAGAAAATGAGCATAATATCAGAAAAGACATGTTTATTTGTTAATAATTGTTAAAAGGTAAAGTGTATAAGGACAATATGTAATGGAATATCAAGCTACATGAGTACTATATCATTAAAACCTGGTTAGGTTATGTCGTTATGGAACGAAGAAGAAAAGAAACAAAATATAAAATGTCTCCTGTGTGAATTTATTATACATCGTTGGGTACAGTACTGAATTATGTTGGACGGGTAGACAACTGTCAACAAGACGCTAGCAGAGTCTGATGTAGGTTTGCAGCTGTGTACCAGTCCAATACAATCTAATGAGTATTGTTCTCAACAAGTAAATGTATATGGACGTCATTATTTCACACCATCATTTTTGCACCCTGTTTTTTACCCTGTCATATAGATCTACACGTTTAGATTCTGCAAAAAGCATCCTCCGTTAGAAATTGCGGTCATCGAAAGTTAACATTTTGCACTCAAATTGAAGCCACAGAGCTTCATTTTATCTTTTCCTTTTTTGTTGGTATTAAAGTGTGGTAACTCTGCTTCATTTGTATGGACAGTATTTCTGTATGAAAAATTAAATGAACGGTTGCTCTGTATGAAAACAATTAATGAATGGTAACTCCACTAGAGTTGTATGGAACAGTAATGTATACGAAAATTAAGGAACGGTAACTCTGTTACGAGATGTATTAAACGTTCATTATGTATGTGAGAACTTAGTAACGGTAACACTGCATAAGAAAAATAAGATAGAGAGATTAATTTAAACGGTTTTTTTTGTAATGAATATATGGTTATTTTAAAGAATGGTTACTCAATATGAGAAACATAAAGACTTGTAATAATGTTCGAGAGATGAACACACGGTAACTTTACAAGGGATATAAGAACGGTAACTCTGTATGTGAGGTGTAACGATCGATAGCTTTGAGATATTTGAGGTATTTCTGTGCTGCAAGGGACGGTTACTCTGTATTACAGTAATCTAATGAACAGCACTTCGTAAATGTGTTAGGACCGGTAACTCTCTGGATATTCTGGATATGAATCAAATACTTTCTAAACTTTAGGCTAGACTGTGTACCGTTTTTTAAAGCAACCATCATGATGTAACTATTAAACATAGCATCAGCTTTTGAATGTTTTGATGGATTGTTATTTGTATTTCATTAGAAAGTTCTTGTCTTTTTTATTTATGTAATAAAATGAAAATGAAGATAACTTGTGTTTTTGTTGTTTTGTTATTACTTATAAGAAGGACGAATACAGAGCACGGTGACAGTCTGCGTATCTATAAAGATTACAGGACATGATGTGCTATATGTATAGTCATAGAATATATCTTACACATGGGTTATGTTTAGTCGTGCCTGAAATAATGTACGGAAGGGTACCTGAGGTCTTCTTCCCCTAGAACAGCTGGAAAGGCGCGGTTTAATCTTTTTATCAAAGTATTTATCAAGGACATAGGGAAATTTTAAAAGAAAGGTTATGTGTTAGTCATTTTATATATCAAAGACATTGGTTATGTGTTGTCAAGGAACATTATACAACACATTGGTTATTGTGTAGTCAAGAAATACTATTTAGTCACGGGTTATGTGTAGTCAAGGCAAATATCTTAGATACGGGTTATATGAAGTCAATGAATATAATTATCTAAGACCTGGGTTATTTGTAATAAAGGAATATATCTAAAACATGAATCATTAATAATTCAGGTGATATTTAAAACACGTGTAATATGTAGACAATAAATACATTTAAGACTTGGATTATGTATAGTCAAAGAATATAACATAAAACAAAGGGTATCAGTACTTAAGAAGATATGTCAGACATAAGTTATGTGTAGGGGCGTCCGTGACCAAGTAGTTACGGTGGTTTACTTCAATCCAGTAGACCCTCACCGCTGTAGCTTCCAATCCTGTCCCAGTAGCCTCTCACCGATGTGGGTTCGAATCCCGACTCTTCATGTGAAGAAGCTATCCAGCTAGCTTACGGAACGTCGGTGATTATACTCAGGTGCCCCTCCGTGCCTGAAAAAAATGCACGGAGGGGCACCTGAGGTCTTCCTCCACCAGTAAAGCTGGAACGTCGCCAAATGACCTATACTGTGTCGGTGTGACGTAAAACCCAAATCAAACAAACAAAATCAAATCCTGTCACAGACTGGATTCTGCTATTCAGCTTTCTGTGGCTCTAATCAGGTGACCATATTTGACTGTTGACTAAATATTTCACGAAGGAGCACACGAGGTCTTCCTCCACCAATGAAGCTTGAAAGTCGACATATCATATCTAACGTGTAGGTGCGACGTAAAACCCAACCAAATATTCATATGTGTATTTAATGAATACATTTAAAGCAGCATGCCTCCAGATTCATATTAATTTTCATTAAAAATATTTTGTAATGTATTTTAAAGTAAAATATTGTGAGGTGAACAAATAAAGTAATTGCCATATTGCAATCAAGAAAATTTATCAAAAGTGGTCTACATATGCAAAGACAGAGCTTACTGCATAAGTAACGCCGCAGTAGAAATATGGTGATAAAATGCTGCAAAATCAGTCTTAAACCGCCATAGCATGTAACTCTTTCTTAAAATATAGTACATTTTTTCTCGATATTGATTTTCTTGAAAAACTTATGCTCATCTGGAGGCGTGCATCTTTAAGATCATGTAAGTAAGCCACATTGAATTTACCAGAGCATTGTCGTTCCTGGGAAGGCTGTCAAGCAGTTTACCAGTACTAGTTGCCTTAAAGCAAGGTACTGACGATGCCAGACCTATTGAGCTAACCGGACGGTTTCGTTTAATGTTTTCTGTCAACTCTCCGCGCTACATTTGATAGGCAGGCTATTGTATTGTTTTTATTTTAGTGGCATTATTTGTAACATTCTACATCTCAATGTTTCAAGACATGCACTTTCCACATATTTTTTTTTAATTTAATTGATTGTGTGTTGTCTCGACATTAACGTCTTCTAACTTATGTATTACACCTTATATAAATGACGAGATTGTACCGGTCTTGTTATTAATTAAAATGTAATTTCGGCATATCAATTTTTAAAGACATGCACTTTCTACATAAATTGTTATTTAATAATACTAATTTCTGAAGAAATGAACGAATAATGATCAAGGTCTTATACATATATAGTACAGTATATATAGACATAATTTCAGTAAAAATTTACCATTATTATACTTGAATATTTCTTGAAAATCCAATCGAATCTAAATAGTGTCAGTACAAGGTCATAGAGTAATTAAGTGACCGAAAATAAATGTTTTTAGTAAGTTTAGGATTATCTTTAATAAAATATGTACAGTCTAACGGATATTCTTACTAAAATTAGTACCTGATTGAATTCGTGCTAAATTTGCAATATTTCTCCACGTTCACTTTCATATTAAATCAATGCACACACTATAACTGTTTAATATTAATAGATGTGATGCGTAAAAATAAAGTAACAGATAGCCAGCCGCCCATCTGTACTAGTACAGCACCTGGGGTAATTCTTTTTCCATTGAAATGAATTAATGTTGTGCTACTATTTTGCATCATTTTCATGTAGAGCGAACAGACAATGAAGAATGTTTTATATACAGTCAGTATTTTTTATCATTATTTCTATTCAGAAAAATACAGCAATTATATACCGCCAATTTTGAAAATAGAACAATATGTACGTCATTCATAGGAGATAAGGTTATGCCTTAGTGATTTTAAGTTTTATTTCCATCCTGAAAATTTTCCCAATAAAAAGATTGAAAGTGCAACATCAGAAATAAAAACTCATGCCCCATGTAAGTCGTTTAAATTATGTTAGTCTAGTTAACATGAGGCATTGAATTTTCTTGTGTTCTCATCTCTTTTTGTTTTCCGACGGTGGGGCATTTAACATGATGTATACATATCTTATGAAACAAGCAAATACAACGACGATTATTAATGTTCAGAAGCTGAACTGAGGTTCATTTAAGATGCGTTTGGCATTTTGCCAATACTTTTTCATGTTCAAGATCATCAGTGTCCATGTTGACATCACCGTTTTAACGGACTTGACTTCATCTTTTCTCACCATAAGCATGCGTTTAATAAACTTCAATGCGATGTTGTCAATATATGGGTTGTCTTTACCTGTTGCATCGGAATAACTCACCCATCTTGTTCTGTTATCTTCTAGCGAACCTTGGATACTAAACCTCTGTTCAATTTCCTTCTCAATTTCTCGGAACTCCTCGTAAGTAACCGTTGGTTCATTAGAAGACCATTTAAAGCTGTTTTCATCTTTAACCAGATCATATTTGGTGAGGACTACAAAGACGTATGCAGAATCTTAAATATACAAAACATATTACTGATAAAAAAGTGACCATTTATGACCATTTCAATAAACCTAAGTTGATCATAACATCAGAATTATTTTCGCTGTATAAATCGATGATACAATTAAAAATCTTAAGTATAAATGTAACAGTCTAGAAAGGTCTATTATGCCTCAGAAATGTTATAATTTATTATTCTTAAAACCTGTTAATCTTTTGTTTCTCGTTCCCGTATCCAAAAAATAAAAATACTCATTTGTCATACAGATGAACTAATTTTGCTTTTTCGCATTTGTCGCATTTGTTATAATTATATTGAATTATTTTTTTTGTATGGAAATTTAAATACTTAATTGTTTACATTTAGATACCTTAACAATAAATTACTGCATGTTCAGCGCTTTAAACATCTTATATGCTCTCAATCTTTATTAAAACATTATTAAACACATTTTGTCATATATGTTTTTCTCAGGCATATGGTTTAAGTTTAACATACATTTTTCTTTAAAAATAACCTCAGTGTGCCCGTTATCAGTGCCTTGTTGTTGGATATATTGATTAAACTATAGGATCGATCCTAAGGTGATCCTGTACAAAAGTTATATAAGTCATGCCCCTGTGCCATAATTATACATTTGGCATGTAGCATTGGAAGTGGGCATCTACACAATTTTTAGAATTATGCAGATTGGGTCAAAAATGACAAACCAAACGTAACTTATTGGTTGACTTTTGCATTGACGAATCTTTAACATTCCTAGCGTTGTATCTCAAGTGAGCGATCGAGGACCATAATGGTCATCTTGTAGTTAGATTTTTCTCAATCCGAAACTATATTTACAAGAAACAGAGATAAAAGGAGGTTTTGAAATAAAATAAAGAGGGACATTTCCCTTCCGAGAACAAAATCGTACACTATAAATGTATATTTGTAAAATATTACTAAGTATCATTCAATAACATACATTTAGGCATCGCTGTTCTAGGATCAGTCTTCCGCAGTATTCGTAAAAGGCAATCAATTAATTTATCCGGAACTTTCTTCTCTCGGCAACTGTGAACAAAGACGATCTTTGTATTCCTCCATTCCTCTCTGCTTTTCTTTAATATGGTTTCCTTTAAACTGCCAACTTTATGCTCCACTTGTAATTTTGTCAATGCTTCAATGCTGGTACCAGGTTGAACATGCCCTGATTGAATGATATATTAAAGATAAGCCTTTACCACGTTAAATTATGTACTGGGTTCACGCTGCAATGGAATTAGACGATTTTGAGCGATTTCAATAACAATTAAATACAAAACCTTAATAACCAACAGCTTAGAGCTTGGTCTGAACGCGCCTTTATTGCCGACATTATAGAGCTTTGTCTGACCGCACCTTAATAACCAACTGTATAGAGCTTGGTCTGACCACACCGTTATAAACAAAAGTATAGAGCATGGTCTGACCGCATCTTAATAGCCAACAGTAGAGAGCATGGACTTAACGCACCTTAATGGCCAACAGTATAGAGCTTGGTCTGACCGCACCTTAATAACCAACAGTATAAAGCTTGGTTTGACCGCACCTTAATAACCAACAGTATAGAGCTTGGTGTGACCGCATCTTAATAACCAACAGTATAGAGCTTGGTTTGACCACACCTTCACAGCCAACAGTATAGAGCTTGGTCTGAAGCACCTTAATAGCCAACAGTATAGAGCTTGGTCTGACCGCATCTAATTAACCATCTGAATAGAGCTTGGTCTAGCCACACCTTCATAACCAACAGTATAGAGCTTGGTCTGACCGCACCTTAATAACCAACTGTAAAGAGCTTGGTTTGACCGCACCTTAATAACCAACAGTATAGAGCTTGGCCTAGCCACACCTTCATAACCAACAGTATAGAGCTTGGTCTGACCGCACCTTAATTACCATCTGTAAAGAGCTTGGTTTTGACCGCATCTTAATAACCAACAGTACAGAGCTTGGCCTAGCCACACCTTCATAACCAACAGTATAGAGCTTGGTCTGAACGCACCTTAATAACCAACTGTATAGAGCTTGGTTTGACCGCATCTTAATAACCAACAGTACAGAGCTTGGCCTAGCCACACCTTCATAACCAACAGTATAGAGCTTGGTCTGACCGCACCTTAATTACCAACTGTAAAGAGCTTGGTTTGACCGCACCTTAATAAACAACAGTATAGAGCTTGGTCTGAACGCACCTTAATAACCAACTGTATAAAGCTTGGTTTGACCGCACCTTAATAACAAACAGTATAGAGCTTCGTCTGACCGCATTTTAATAGCAAACAGTTTAGAACTTGGTCCAACCGCACCTTATTAAAAACAACAATATAGAGTTTGGTATGACTGCACCTTAATAGCCAACAGTATAGAGCTTGGTATGAACGCACCTTAATAACCAACAGTATAGAGCTTGGTCTGAACGCAACTTAGAATAAAAATAAGTGTATTTTGTTAAGTATTCACTTGATCCATAGATAGATAAAGTTACGTAATTAATGTCTGTTGTTTTCGTATACTTGAAGTTAATAAAAAAAAACTCTGTTTATTATAGTCTGAATGAAATAATTTCAGTTCTGAAAAAAGTAATAAAAGTACACAAGTTATTTGAATCAATGGTACAAGTCAACCAAATCATCTCGTTTCCCAAACCCAGGATATAAATCTAGCCAACTAAGCCTACAGGGTTGGTCATTACTACTATTTCGCGTAAATAAATCAAACTTAAATGATTACACAATATACATGTATTCAATGCAGACGATACACTCACTTAAATCAAAAATCAAATAAACATATAAATAAATAAATAAATATAAAAATAAACAAGCAATTATCATAATATTGCAAGCAATCCATAAGGCCCCTACCAGTTAGAACCCCAGCAACATTCTGATTTCAATTTTACCAGTGAATAAATGGCACGAATGAATTTAAATCTTTTGAGTTCTAAGTTTGTCTATATCACAGTAATGTGTTCAGTTTCCCTGACTAGTAAGGAAATAATGTTTATACAACCTTGTCAAATTATAACAATGTGGGATTTTAAAGTAAATCCTATAAGGTCAATGAAGAAGTTGGAGTAAAAAATACCAATTTCTCGAAAAAAATCAAGAAATCAAAAAAGTTCAAGGGGGACATAATTCTGGAAATAGTATTTAACCTTCTCAAAAATGTTGAGTGATAATAAGAAACATATATATGAAGTTTGAAGTAGATACATTAGGAAATAAAGAAGTTATTTAAAAAAGACGTTTTTTTCCATAAAAATTCTAAGTTCAAGGGAGGTAATACTGATAATTTTTGTGCTAGAGTTGTAAACCTTGTCACATATGATATGGTTGATGACCAGAAACTTATATTTAAAGTTGGAAGTAAACACCTTAAGAAAAAAAAGAACTTATAGTGAAAAAGCTGAAAAATTTAAATCAGAGATCTTGAAATTCAGGCTATTTGTTGCCCTAGCAACCAGAATGTTTAACATAGGAAGAAAAGAAAAAAATGTGCATAATCTGCAGGCTGCCATCTATCCATATTTCAAGTTTCATAAAAATATTTTCAGTACTTTTTGAGTTATCACTGGATCCAGAATATGTGTTAAATTTGCCATATTTATCTATTTATTGCCATAGCAACCAAATTTTTCAACATAGGAAGAAAAGAAAAAGACACGCATAATCTCATACTGCCATTTATACATATGTCAAGTTTCATAAAAATATTTTCAGTCCTTTTTGCGTTATCGCTGGATCCAGTTTGGTGGACGGACTGACAGACGGACTGACAGATAGACAGACAGATGGATGGAGGGTAGAGCTAAAGTCCCCTCCGGTTAAACCAGTAGGGGACAATAAATAGTAATACCTCTCCAAAGAAAACGTTTTCGACTGTGTTGAACCTTGTCCTACTTTAGCTTTTGGTATGTACTTTCCAGATAGTGCTTTTATAATGGTGTTAACAATAGAGCTCTTGCCGGCACCTATGTTACCAAACAACAATATCCTCTCAACATCTTCTCGATCCCTGCTGTTACACAGCCAGTCTATGTGATCTTACAGATCCTTTTTTTTCCTCCACCACAGCTTCCACCTTACTCATTGCTAGTTTATATTTATCTTTAACATTCCTGTCATGTATTGAGTCCGTCATCTTGAAATGTTCCGGAAAACTTCCAGTCAAAAAAAAATAAAATAAAAAAATAACAAAAAGCAAACAACAAAAGAAAAAAAAAACGATATCACAAAAATATATGCATGATGTGACAAATAGTTGATTAAAGGTAGTATGTTAAAGAAGTTGTTTATATTTGTTGTAATATATACTGATATGTCTTCTTAGTCTGAAAGAAAAAAAACAAAACAAAATACAGCGGAAAAATGCAGGGGGTCTTAAAATGATACCATACACCAAAAATGTCCGGGTACCATAATGCATATTTAAGATATTTCAAGTTTATTTTAAGGAACACAGAATGTGGGGGAGGGGGGCTTCATGTGTTAGTTCCCGGTGTGAAATTTCTTTGATAGTGCATGCTTTACACACAAACACGTTCAATGTATCTACTTATCAAGTGCAATTATTACAACAATGAAATCGGTTAAACTCCTTTCACCACCACCGAAACCACTATCCCGCCACCTCCGCAACAGCATGAAGCTTTGTACAAGATTATGAGATTTAAGTGAAGTAAATCTGTAATCATTCGTCTATAAATGGCTGTAAGGATTGCCTGTTGTATCAGACAAGATATGAGCCGCGTCACGACAAACCAAAGTAGTGCCTTTGCGACCAGCATGGATTCAGACCATCCTGCGCATCCGCGCAATCTGATCAGGATCCATGCTGTTCTCTCACCAACCCTTTTACAAGTTTACAAGTAGAGACACTGATAGCGAACAACATGGACCCTGATCAAACTGTGCGAATACGCAGGCTGGTCTGGATCTATGATGGTCGCTAACGCACTATGTTGGTTTTGTTGTGACGCGGCTCATATGTGATAATGTCAACACGACAAGGCAAATAGGGGGGGGGGGGGGAAGATGGTCCTGGGACCCGGATGTTTATTTTTTACAAAGAACGTCTCTGATACGTTTTGAGCACTCTGAGACAAGCTTTTAATCATTCTCAATCTTATTCTTAATTTTGCATTTATATTTTTGAAAAAATACAAGAAAATTAAATGTTCTTTACAAGATTTAAAAAAACAAAACATCTGTATGTTCAGGTTCACAGTTTCATGAACAGACCAATAAAGGCAATTCTTCTGTTTCCAGGAGAATCCCATAACTTTAAAATGTCATTATAGTCAAGTGACATCAAAACTAGACCATTTAAGTCTCCTTCATAGATGATCGAGTCCATTCTGCTTTAATTTATATTCAAGGATTTTTCTTACCACCAAGATTACTGAAAACATGGCCAAAGAAAGTGATCTCATTAACAGAAAAGACACAATTGTCTTTGTTCAATTTGGCCCCTGAACTGCGAAGTTTCTCTAATGTCTGCATGAGCGCACGGTCATGGTCTGTTTGATAATATCATCTAACAAGTTTCTTGCACCGTGAATGCCTGAAATCAAATCAGAAATAACTTTCTGAAAAATCTCCGAAGCAGCGTTTACCCCAAATAACAGACCTTTATAACGACGTAGACCAACATGGGTACTAAATGTTGTGATGTAACGAGAGGACTCTGAAAGGACAAGCTGATGATAGCCATTAGAGAGGTCAAGTTTGCTAAAAACTGTAGAGGAATTAAGCTCAGTCATTAAGTCTTCAATGGTAGGCATGGGATGCTTTTCTCTAAGAATAGCCCGATTAGCCTGGCGCATAGCAATGCATTCCCTGACCCCAGAAGAATTTTTAGGGACAACAACTACCTGACTGACCCACGGCGTAGGACCAGAAACTGGCTCTCGAGATCTTTCTCCACATCTTTACGTATGTGGAAAGGAATTCTACGGTGAGGTATCTAGAAACTGGCTACACCGTCTCATCAATGTGTAACTTGACTTCTGCGCCTTTAATCTTCCACATGGCACCATCAAATAGCTGTGGAAACTGACCTGCAATCTTACTAACAAAATTATCGCTTGGAATAGTGGCAGAAGAAGCATATGTAAAGTGGATAATACCAAGACTTTGAGCAGTAGAAGAGCTTAGCAGACAT